AGTGATCGCCTCTTGAGACCGATCAAAGGTACTGGGGGTGGCTACCTTGACCGAGAAGACTTCTCGGTGTTCCTTTTGCGCCGCCCACTGTAAAGGCACGCCGAGGGCCCACCAAGATCATGAAGGCGTTATGTGCCGGGAACCCGTCGTCCTTGTCCTCGCCCCGGTCACGGCGCCCATACGCTTGGCGTCGTGCGTCGGGGAGCCCGAGCTGTCGTAGTAACGCCAGTAGCATGGTGCAATCCTCGAGGGCGTGCTTGACCGGCCTTGGTGATAAGGGCATGGTTTCTTGAGCATGTCGTCGAAAGGCCTAGGGCCTTTGGGGCCTCGGGGATTCTTGCGTTCTCGGCCCGACCAGATCAACCCCATGACCTCCTCGCTTCTCTAGGCGCCTTTTTCTTTCTCTTAGGGAGGTGGGAGGCCGGCGGCGTCGGGGCTTCGCCCTCCGGTTTCCCTTGGCGTCGCTGTCGGGGAAGATGGCACCGACGGCCTCCTCGCCCGAGGCGAAGTTGGTGGCGATGTCGAGGAGCGCAGCAGCGGTGCGTGGCATGTTCCGACCTAGCTCCCGCACCAGGTCCCGGCAGGTGGTGCCGGAGAGGAAAGCCTGGATGATCTCTGAGTCACCGACGCTGGGCAGCTCGGTGCACTGCTTGGAGAAGCGCCGGATGAAACCTCGGAGAGACTCGCCTGGTTTCTGGCGGCAATTCTTAAGGTCCTAGGAGTTTCCGGGACGTACGTACGTGCCCTGAAAATTCCCAACGAAGACCCTAACCAAGTCGCGCCAGTCGTGGATCTGTGAGGGAGGGAGGTGCTCGAGCCAGGCTCACGCCGAGTCTGACAAGAGCAAAGGGAGGTTACGGATGATGAGCAGGTCATCGTCCGCGCCACCTAGCTGGCAGGCCAAGCGGTAGTCGGCAAGCCAGAGTTCGGGGTTGGTCTCACCGCTGTATTTTGCGAGGTTGGCTGGTTGCCAAAAACGGGCCGGGAACTGGGCGACACGGATAGCTCTGCTGAAGACTCGAGGGCCAGGTGGCTCAGGAGAAGGGCTACGGTCTTCCTCGCTGTCGTAGCGGCTACCTCGGTGCACATGGTAGCCTCGGGCGGGCCCCTCACCGTCGTGGCGTCGTCGTCGGCCGACTACCTCGTGGTCTCCCTGCCCCTCGTGTCGATTGTCGAGGCGGTCAAGGAGCATGGGGACCCTGTGAGCTATCGGTGCTCGAGCAGGTTTGGGACGAGCCGAGGCTTCCCTGTCCTGTCGAGGTGGTGCCGCGGGTAGGTTCGAGACGCCCCAGTGCCGTCGGGAGGCAGAACTATCGGCTTGCTGAACCGTGGCGGTCTCTAGGAGGTCTCGGAGTTCACCGCGGACCCGCCGCCCCTCCAGCGATGAGAAGGCTCGGGCATTGCGCGAACCAAAGATCGCCACAGCGCGATGCGATGTTCGCTAGCGCGATTGAAGATCGGGGGTTGCTCGCTCCCTTCGTCGTTATGGATGCGGTGATGCATGTCGAGGGCTCTCCGTCGGGCTCCCCCGCCTTCGCCGCGACCTCGCTGTTCCTATTCGAGAGAGTCTCGAAGCTGCTGCAGAAGGAGTTGGTCTTGCTCGACCTTGGCCTGTAGCTCACGGAGCTATTCTAGGTCTGGGCGCTGAGGTCGCGCAAGAGCGACGTTCTCATTTCGTGCGGCCGGCAGGACGACGCGTGGAGGTGTAGCGACGCTCGTGCCGGGGCGGAGCGGGGAACGGCTACCTGCCCCCTCGTCCTCTTCGCCCGCTCTCGGCATCCCGACCCCAACATGAAAACATTCGCGAGTGGGGTCGTAGGTGCCTTCGTCGTCGGAGTCGGAGTAGCCGGGCAAGAGATCGTCAGCTTCCAAGAATCGGCGCAAAGCCCTAGGGGTTGTGGAGTCCGGAAAAATCCACCCCGGGCCATGCCTCGCCCCTCGTCCGAGAAGTCGAGTGGGTGCTCAGTCGAGAGCGAAGCGCCGCGCGGCTCCGAGGGGTGCTCGTGAGCGACAGTGGCGGCGTGAGGCGTCTGGCGGCGGCATTTCTCAACCCAAAGGGTATGGGGACGGTGCCGCCTCCAGATTCTCGCCTCACCGAATCGGCTCTTTAGGGAGTGGTGGAGCGGAGCTTGACGACTGGCATCGCCGCGTGCCACGAGCAAGTTTCCTTTGTCCAAGCTCAGCTAGACAGGTCCCCACCAGGTCCCTGCGTGCCAACAAATTGGTCGTAGGATATCGGCGGGGGTGGCGCGTTGCCTGGATTCGCGTAGCGTCGGGGTGGCCTTGTTCGTGCCGTGCTTGGCGAGTGCGGCGAGAACGGCCGCCCAAACACCGCCCGCGCCTGGGCTGCCGGGGCGTAACTTCATCGTTGGTTGGTGGGGCTCGAGGAGGGAGGAGCACCAAGTCATACTCATGCCCTAGAGACATGAACTCTAGGCTCCCGAACCAAACCACGGTGCCGAGACGCAATGGTCGTACGTGGTCTGCCATCCAAAACTCTTTGGGATGATGAAACCGAAACCGACACGCAGCGCCCTACCGGCGCGCTTAACCGCCGGTGTTTGGGATGGGGGTCCTCAACCAACCAGTGAATTTGTTCTGCGTGCTCCCAATTCCGGATGGTGATGCAAAGAGACACAAGGTTTATACTAGTTCAGGCAATCGAGGCCCTACGTCCAGTCTAAGAGATCGATCTTGTATTCCTTGCACCGAGGTGCACGTAGTAGGGGGTTACAAGCTAAAGGAGAGAAGGAACTGGTCCTAAGTCTCGGTGGGGTGTCGTGCGGTCCGCTTGAGACGTTGCTCTCAGGCGGCCGGAGTGTGCGTGTGTGCGTGTCTTCCTCCCCCCCTAAAACAACCCGGGCCCTCTCCTTTTATAGCATGAAGGGAGGACTTGGGCGGTACATGAGCTGACTATACGGCGTCGTGTGAATAGAGGCGGCGTGTCCGGGCCCTGTAGCCTGTTCCTGTGGCGGCGTGGCCGTCGGAGTGGTCCATCCTTGGAGTACGGGGGCGGCGTGGTCATCCCATCAGGTCCTGTGCGTCGTGGGAGCCCCGGGAATGCCTCGGAGTGGATGCGGCGGCAAACGTGCAAGCCATTGTGGACGGACTGTGCGCGATGCCGAGGCTTGGTTGATGCCGAGGCTGGCACTGCGGTGGGGGGGTCTCGGCAGGCATGTACCCCAAGATCACCGAGGCCCCGGTGTACAGTGCCGAGGCCTTGAGCGGGCGGCCGATCATGGGTACAGCGTTTGGACACAGTGGTCGGTAATCCCCGTCGTACCCTTTCCTAGCCGGTATGGTGCTGATCGTGGACATAGTGGTAGGGCACAGTGGTCGGTAATCCCCGTCGCGTGCTTTCCCAGCCGGTATGGTGCTGATCGTGGACACAGTGGTAGGACACAGTGGCCTGTCCCGGCCGGTATGGCGCTGATGCGACCTCGGGTCGCGTCGGCCATCCTGTGGCGTTGAGCCACCGTCCGGCTGAGATTGCGGGAGTGGTTGAAGCATTAATGAGACATGACGAGTTGTTGGGAGGGTCGGCCGAGGCGGGGGGCGACGGACCGTGGACGAGCCGGCCTCGCGCGACACGGAGAATGAGGCCTCACGCGATACGGAGAATGAGGCCTCGCGTGATACGGAGAGTGAGGCCTCTGCCGAGGCCTTCCCTAGATAGCCTCGGGCGAGATGGAGACGGCGTCCCCTGCCAAGGCTCAGCGCCCCCTGCCGAGGCCTACCCTAGGGAGCCTAGCGCGAGGCGGAGTTCGTTCCGAGACCTCCTGCTCGAGGCTCGAGGCGAGGTGGAGGAGGGCTCGGTCGTGGCAGGTGAGGGGAGGGCTCGGTCGTGGCAGGTGAGGGGCCCACGGCTTACCTTCTAGCTTTGTTTTGATGTTTGCTTGGGGTACCCCGTTCTAAGGCACCCGACACTATCGTTTTAATAGTAACTACACATTCAAGTTGGATCTGGTCAAGACCTTATTACTCACTCAAGACCTCTTTTACTTGTTTTTGGGAACTGACATAGGCCATATGTACTTTGATTATTACTTATCAATAGTTAAATGCATTCTAGCAAAATATATACTTATTAGAACTGGAAGAAATGGAATTAATATCGATGACATATTTAGTATAAGACAAATGCAAATAATTTAATGTAGTGGTAAAAAAAATGAAGTTTAACTGCGCACATGGAAATGGTGGTGGCATTAAGCAAATAAAAAAAGAAACTCTTGTCCTACAGAAGCATCTTAATACCCACATGTAGCAGCATTTGTCTGGGACCTGGTTGAAGATGCATATCCTCTACCACTAAATTGTTAAGGCAAAACTTTTCCAATAACTTAATAAGCCATCAAACAAACTAAAAGAAAATTGTAAATTGTGTTTACCTTTTACTACAACACTTCTGCTGTTTTCTTGAAGAAAAAAAAAACTTGCATCGCATTCAACTCAACTAAATTAAGTTTTGTTCCAACTACAGCAAGAAGCCCTAAGGTTTGTCATCAACTCACGCAGAACAGTGCATAGTGACACTTGTCACTATCAAGCTCTTCGTCCTAAATTAAGTGCACTAAGTTGCTAAGTTAGTTTTTAGTTTCAGACCATCCTAAACCAACAACTATTATGATCACCTGATCAGGCCTTTAGATCTTTACACAGTATTTTGGATACCAATTTGGCTTGGAATGGGCAAACACCATTCATTGGATGTCCATCTGCTGCCCCTATATTGGTAAAGGCAAGCTTTGTCGTTCACTAAACCAACATATAATCCAAATGTGCAATCTTAACTCTTGGACATCATGCCATAAGTACGAATAAATGAGACTGACAGACACATTTTTGCCTATAAAATTCAGATAAGTTATAAAGCTCGTTCATAGAAAAAAAAACAGTCACGACCTACATGCAACAAAAATTCACACCCTTTTCCCGACCAAGGATCGGACTGCAGCCTTGAGTTTTGTTTTAGCCTCAATAGAACATAAAACTTGGCCTTAACACCCAGAGCAATTAACACAGAAATGCGCGAAAACAGTGCAAGTACATGTAGTTTTGAGATGTTTGGAGATCCCACTGACGATGCAGCAGCGCATAAAACCAACGTGCCTCTTCGTATCAAGCTTCACCACTCCTTGCAGAGTCCCTGTACCTGCATCAACAGCGACTCCCATCTCCACCGATCGAATGCTGGTGCCTTTGGACAACAAATAAACCACATCATCATCATCAGCGATGCTCATGGTGGGGTAAGCCATGTGAAGACATCCCAGGGACAAGGTTGCCTCTGTGGCCTTCTCCTCCTCGGTGCCGCCGCTGCTCATGAGTTTACGCAGCAGCTCATAATGCCTTGTGTTGTCAGAAGGGAGGTTGATGTCCTCTGAACGGATTGTGCATCGACGATGCCAGCTGTCCCATGACGTGATTGGGATAGGCATACTCCATGTAGTCATCTTCCAGCTACCAGGGACCAAGGAGTATGACCGCGGAAGTTTTTGGTGGTTCAGCCATTCGTAATAGGAATCAGAATCGGATGTGGAGGCAATCCAGGTCACCTTAGTTGGCCGAGTGATCTCCATCTCGACGTACTTGATAGTGTCTTTGCTCTGGTTGACAGCGATGTCACGACAATAGTACGGGCAGCTATTGAGGAATTTACTCCAGTTGCCCTTGGCTGGCAGGGGCAGCGGCATGTCACGGAGCTTGGGACTGTCTTCCAGCAAGTCGCAGAGAAGTATGCCTCGCCAGAGATCGACAAAGCCAACTGTACCTTTAGCACCCCGAGCGTGATCACCTTCGTCGTCAGATGGTACATGAGCCTCTGTGCTGAGTCAGGAATCGGGCACACGATGTCCCTCTGGGGCTCCTCCACGGGCACCCGCTGGGAGGTCCAACTCCCTGACTTGCCGTCGGGTCCAGAGTGGTATAGGTGGAGCATGAAAGAAAAATCACGGAGCGGCATTCTGATAGTGGCCACAGCGAACCTGTTGCCGTACCCCAGTATGGCGATCTCGTTGTCGCTGAAGCATTCGGGATATGGGTTCGGGAGCAGGTACAGCTTTGATTGTTCAGGGTTCAACTTGTAGACGAAGTAGTCGCTGTGACTCGGAATCATTCTGGCCATGGGATCGCGCGGGACGCGGAGGAGGATGAGGTCGGCATCAGCGCTGATAATCTTGGGCGTCAGGGACAAATTCGTGGGATCCACCTCTAGACCCGGGCAGTGGATGAATAAGTAGGAGAGGTCTGGCGGGTGGGCGGCGCAGAAGGTCACCTCGATGGGCAGGTCGGTGCTCGTCTTGGAAGTGGCGGTGGTGGAGTTGGATCGGCCGGTGTTGTAGCTCCGGGTGTCGAGCAGGACGAAGCTTGGGACATCGTGGCGGCCCTTGACCTCGGAGCTCGCCATGGGGTCCGATTGATCAATCCACGATCAAATCGGAGAAGAGCCGGAGCTTCACCTGGATTTGGGATCTTGGGTTCGCTAGGCGAGAGCGGGATGAGCCGGCGGCGGAATTTGGGGGCGGGGATTAGGGTTACGAGGTTCGGGGTAGGCGATGGTGATAGCCTGTCTGTTCTCTTGACAGCTGTCCAGAACGGACGCCTCAAATTTCGATCTTGACGATCGAGGTGGTATATTGGGTGCAATATTTGTCGAAGAAATATAATACGCTCGAATTATTTTGGCTCGACGTTTGTAGCCCCTAATTCGCCAGTGCCTCCACCAGCCCAAGCCCATGCATCCGAGCGCTTGATGCTGGCCAGCCAGCCGCCGGCGATGTATCGTTTCGCCGCCTCTGTGAAGTGGACGCCGTCCATAGGATTTCGTGGCGCAGCGATATGGACAAACGGGCTAGAGCGGAGTAGCTAGGCCCCCCACCCCGCCCCCCCTACCCGCCGGTGGCCACTCCGGCCCCGGCGTCCACCTTAGCCCCAGTCGCCGGCGGCCACTCCGGCCTCGCCGTCCACCCAAGTCACCCCCACTTGGCTCGCCCCAATGGCGCAGGGTCCTCCGTCTGAACGCGGTTCCCCGTCGCGTCGGTCTTGGGCCGATGAGGTAGAGGAGAAGGAGGCTTCCATGGAACGGCATTCCCTGCACGGCCGCTTCGTCGGGTCATCGAGCCTCAACCCATTCGCGCCTCCCTTGTCGCCGGCCAGCTCGGGGGCCGGCAGGGCCGAAAGGGTCTCCTTCACCGGCTCGGAGGCCTCGACGGACTCCGAGCCTCCCTCCCCGCCGCCTGAGGGCAAGGTCAAGCAGGTCGCGGAGAGCTGCGCAGGCGTCGTTAGAGGAGGAGGCGGCGTCCCCCCTGCTTCGGCGCCTAACGGAGGGTTCCTGGCTGACGCGCGCCGCACCCATCCGCAACCCTCTCCGCCGCAAAACTCTCCGCCGCGCCGCCACCTCGCCTCCATCATGGTGCACCCCGCCCGACCCACGGGCACACCCGATGCGGATGGCTACTACCAGGTGCAAAGGCGCCGTCGCTGGCGCCGGCGTGCGGCCCCTAAGCCGGCGAAGCCTGTCACCAAGAACTTGGTTGGCCTGTGCTTTAACTGTTTGGCAGGGGATCATGTCAAGGCGGATTGCTGCATCTGGAAGGCGAAATGTTTCATCTGCAAGCAGCTGGGCCATGAGGCCAGGGATTGCAGGCTTCAGCTCCGCCACAGGGGTTGCAAACGTGGCCGGTCGCCGTCCCGCCCCAACGCCCGTCGCAGTGCCGCTCCGCGACGGTGCGTGGAGCAACGACGGGCCCCGGCACCGTCGTGCGGTGACGACACGGCATCTGCTCGCTCTGTGTCCACCGGTCGTTCGCCGTCGGTGCCCCGGTGCTGCGACCCACCGACTCCACCGCCGCCGCCTCCGGAGGTTCCCGGCGGGGACGTCGCGGCTGCCATGCACCCGATGTCCGATCGTCCGCCGGCGGAGGGCCGTCACACGGAGATTTTCGTTATCCCTCGCTCTGCGGAGCTGGAGGTAGCCGAGGAGGAGCTCTCCCGCGCGCTGGTCGCGATCGTGGGAGGCACGCGGCCCGAGGTCACCCCGGCGATGGTCCGCCAGCTTCTCTGCGGCCACTTTGGCTTCGCGGCGGAAGCCTTCTCCGTCCGCCGACACGCTCCTGAAGACTTCATTGTGCGGTTCGGCAGTCGTGGTGTTGAACAACGCACCTCCGCACCCTCCCTTCACCCTGATCTGGTGGCTATGGAGACGCACGTCCATGGTATCGGCGGGAGCTTTCACGTTCAGGGTGCTTGTTGGGATGCGGAACGTTCCTGCCCATGCGAGGAGCGTGTCCATCGCTGAGCGCATCCTGGGGACATCATGTGCCAGCATTGAGATTGCCCCGCCGGAGGTGGTGCCTGAAGATGATGACCGCGAGTTCTTCGTCGCTGCATGCTGCATCCACCCGCGCCTCGTCCCGGATGAGAAGATTATGGCCATTCCGGAGCCGCTGTTCCTGGGCGCGCATGAGGACATGACGGAGCTCCCTGCTCTCCGTTACCTTGTCCGGTGCCGCGTCGTGGAGTACCAAGACTGGTCTGTTCCCCGGCACTCTTTCGATGATGACGACGGGCATGGAGGAGCCAACGACGACGATGATGACAGTGGCGACAGCAACCATAATCGGTACCACCCCGGCCTCGACACTGGTTCTCGTCGTTCGTCGTGGGGTGCGAAGTCGGTGCGCCTCGCCGGCGCTAGGGACGACGCGCCTTCGCTGGGCAACGGTCGGGGGCTCACCTTCCGCGCGCGCCGGACCGTTCTCGTCGGTGCCCAGATGGCCGACGTTGACGCTTGCCGATGCCTGGACCAGAAACTGCGCGCCCTGGAAAGGCGCTAAGGAGCTGGCGTGCCACCTGCGTTGGCAACATCAGGTTGCAACTCGCCGCGGCTCGAGTGGTAATCTACGAGCTCGACGTCGCGCAAGAATCCAGGCAGCTGTAGCAGGGTGAGCTTCATCTGCGCCGCGAACTCAAGGCGAACGTCCTCGGACTCGCGTCTCTGGCCAGAACCATGGCCAGACAGCGCGCCACCTGAAGGACGGCGATGCATGCACCAAGTATTTCCACCTACAGGCATGCCACCCACGGCGGAAAAATTATCTGTTCGCCATAAACCACAATGGGCAGACCTTCAGTGAGGAGGAAGCGAAGGCGGGCATCGTGTACTCCTACTACAACGAGCTGCTCGGCAAGGCCTTCCATAGGCAACACCGCATTGATTTGGCACAACTGGACCTGCCGCAGCTGGACCTCAGTGAACTGGTGATCCCGTACACGGCGGAGGAGGTGGCGAGGATTGTCCGGGATACCCCGGCCGACAGGGCTCCGGGCCCGGACGGATTCAATGGCGCGTTTTACAAGGCTGCTTGGGAGATCGTCGGCCCCGATGTGGTTCGTATTTTTCACGCGCTCTGGGAGGTGGACTTCAGAAGCTTCTACTACCTAAAGGAGGCGACCATTGTGCTGCTCCACAAAACAAAGGCGCCGGACGGCCTCAAGTTGTTCGCCAAGGGCCTAGCACTTCGTCTGGCACCAAGAATACAGGAGATCGTTAAGATCAATCAGTCTTCCTTCACCCGGGGTCGGCGAATTCACGAAAATTTTCGTGCTGTTCAGCTGACCTGCCGGTGGCTGCATGCTCGGCACTGTCCCACGATGCTTCTCAAGGTCGATCTCGCGAAGGCGTTCGATACGGTGGCATGGCCGTTCTTGCTTGAGGTACTCGAGCACATAGGCTTCCCTCAGCGGTGGCGTGACTGGATTTCAGCCATGCTGGGAACGGCGAGCACTAAGGTGCATGTCAACGGACGCCCTGTACGTCGCATCTGTCATGCCCGCGTCCTCAGACAAGGCGACCCGCTGTCGCCGTTCCTGTTCATCATCGTCATGGAGGTACTGAATGCGCTGATCGCCGCAGCTGATCGCCGTGCAGTACTTACTCCGTTGCCGGGGACTGCGATCAAGTACCGTGCATCCATTTACGCCGACGACCTGGTCATCTTCCTAGCGCCATCTGCTCAGGACTTCACCTGCATCAGACACATTCTCGAGCTCTTTGCGGGGACATCTGGACTTGCCACCAACCTGGACAAATGGACGATCACCCCGATACGTTACTCCAGCGACGACGTCGAAGCCGTGCAGCGTGTCTTCCCCTGCAGGCTCCAGGAATTTCCTACTAAATACCTGGGAGCTCCACTGTCGCTTTCTAGACTAAGCCGCGCCAATGAACAGACGCTTGTCGCTCCAGCGACGACGCTCTCCGCGATCCCAGTTCACGTATCCATATGCTGCAGCCTCTCGTCATGGGCGATCGAGGAAATCGACAAGAGAAGGCGCGTTTTCCTTTGGGCGGGCACTGAGTCCGTCGCCGGAGGAAAGTGCAGGGTGGTTTGGCCCGTCGTCTGCTCTCCGAGGGAACATGGCGGCCTTGGGCTGCCTGATCTCAGGATCCTCGGCTTCGCACTTCGCCTGCGCTGGGAGTGGCTACGGCGGTCTCAACCCGACGCAGCCTGGACGCTCCTGCCTTCCAAACCGGAGCGGGCGGTCGACCACATGTTCAGGGCGTCGGTCACCGTCCAGGCGGGTGACGGTGCTACCGCACGCTTCTGGACTGATGCCTGGCCGCCGGACGGTGCTATCTGCCGCTTTGCACCTAGCCTCTACTGTGCGGTCGGGAGTCGTAGGCGCAACCGTTCCGTCAAGGACGCGCTGACCAATCGACAATGGGCAAGAGACATCACCGGCGCGCCGACTGCCGCCGTTCTTTGCGAGTATGTTCAGCTTTGGGACAAGGTCGACGGCATTCAGCTACAGACGCACGCCACGGACCGCTTCCTCTGGAAGTGGACTGGAAACGGCGAATACACAGCCTCCTCGGCGTACCGGTGCCACGTCCAGAGCGGTGGCGAATACTCCACCATCGCCATGACGGTGCGGAAGAAATCGGCGTAGACGGTGCGGGCGTGCCGGTGCCACGTCCAGAGCGGTGCCGGTGCCATGACGGAATCGTTTAATTTGTTTCCATTTGCGTCGTCTTCTGTTACTGTTTGCGTTAACGTTTACATAATGCAACCAAACAGCACCTTAGTAACTTCGATCAAGAGCATATTATATATAAAAGCTTGCATGTGCATCAACTGTTTGCACATAGAAACTAAATACGATACGATGCATAGCAGGGTACGTAGTTCTTGAAGATTTTTCTAGATTCCTCGCTTCGGATCGGATCGGATCAACGAGAACAGAGAAACAGGGCATACTGTACCTCATAACTGAAATAAGCACGACAGCAAGAGCGCCCTGGTGATGTTGCAGCGGTGGCGTAGTACTCTTCTGGCGAGCAAACAAAGCCGAAATAGAGGATATCAGTGTAGGAGATTGGATTGAAGCTTTTGTTGGATAAAATTT